ATGATTTTTTTTTTTAATTTCTTAGTTCCAATAAGATAAATCTTGAGAATGAGTAGAAAATAAAAAAGTCATATATACAATTGATATTTCTCATTTTATTTTATTTTAATTTTTTAAAAATAGATTAATTATTATCATTAATATAATTTATAGTTATTTTCATGGAAACTTGTATATTTATGTGAAATAGTAATTAACTAAAATTTGGGATCAAATTTAAAATGATTCATGAGGAAACTTGTATATTGATGTGAAATATTAATTAACTAAAAATTTTGGGATCAAAATTAGAGTGATTCATTTGGAAACTTACATGTTTATGTGAATTATTAATTAACCAAAAATTTTAGAATCAATTTAACTATGTAAGTGAATTAATTAGCATAGATAAGAAAGGTTTTAATTTTTCCTTTTTATTATAAGTCATATTAAGTAATTAATAATTATATAATAAGTTCAAATTAAAGCAAAATGAGATAAATAGTGTCTATTCCTAAAACTAAAAATAAATAAAAAGTAATTGAAGGTGGATAAACAAAATGAAATAAGTCATTTTATAATTTGGAGAGAGATGTACATTTATACTTCCCAAATACACTATAATCTAAATTAAATCCTCATTGGTTAATTTATGTATAATTCTATGCACCATATGAAAAATTGAGTGTGGGCCTAGGCCCACACTAGTCCCTTAGTGCATCCGTCCCTGGGCCCACCCTTTTTATATGGGCCGATTCATGGGTCGGCAGTTCACGGGTCGGTACGGCCCTTCCAAAAAACAACTCGTGTCTCGTCGATCGACCCACGGCACGGATCCGCCCAGTCCGGCGGGACCAAAAAAAGAAATATTTGAACCGGGACCGTGGACATGTCTACTTAGGATGCCTGTTAGAAACATCTCTTGATTGTAGAAGAGATGTATTTTTTGTAAATTGGTAAATTAAAATTGTTTAATTATTGTGCAAAAATTTAATTCTAATACATGTGTACAGTTTGCAAACATTTATAGAAAGAGTTTTAAATTTAAATTTAATTACATAATTTTAATTAGTTACATCCATAAATAATATCAATGTACATTAAATAGTTTTCACTAAAAAAAAAAACTAATGTAACTTTTATAAATGATTAGTGATAGGACAAAAAAGTTAAAATAAATAATAATTGAGTATTATATGGTGAAAAAAAATAAGTAAAATTATTATTTATCCTATATCAAAAAATAAATATATTCTAAAATTAAATCTATATCTATTACTAGATAACAAGGTTACCTATTTAAGAGATACTATATCAAATGCACACAAAAAAAATAATAAAAAAAAAACATAGACGAGAAACAATGTCAAATGCAGGAAAAAAAAGGAAATTGCATGTTTGCATGTTCTTGAAGTAATATGTGTCAGTCACAGCAGACCGTATGTAGTTGTTTCACGCGTTACGAATCGTAAAAGTTTGAAGAATTTAATTTGTGGACACGAGGATGTACCAAAACTTAGAATGTTCTATACAAAGATGTGTTTATTAATATATAAATAACATTTTGTTTTATTCCAATAAATGTGTTTTGTGCTTTGAACAATGATCACATCATCCAAATCAAATATCTCTCTTAATATTACTAGC